ATATTATATAAACTGTTTTATAGAAATTTTCTTTCATAATTAACTAATTTATTAGATGATAATGATTCAAAACTATTCATTAGTTAATAATTCAACAAATTTCTTTTTTTTTTAAATATATTTATTAATATTTTTAAACTATCATATTGATAAAGAGTTTTCGATTTTTATTATATTATTTTATTATTATTCTTACTTAGGAATTGAAAATTGGAATTAATATATAATAATAGGTTCTTGTTATATAGAAAAAATATTTTCACAATAAATGATAATGGAACATTAATTATAATTTTATCAAAATCGTTGTTCAAAATTTATTTTGAATATATAATTTATACTATCGCAAATTTGGACTTGACAATCAAAAAATTATCGTAATATTTTATTTAGTATTGCGATATTTCAGCAGTAGTTTTAAAAATACGTGAATATGTGTAGAAAATGTTTGTATTAAAAGAAAACATTCGAGGTTTCGTGACCTGTCGTTAACCTAGTTAGGATTCCCATTCCAGTACACGCACTCATTACAGGTTCCACCACGTTTATTCCATACTCGAAAGTTGATTGCGAAATAATCGAAATAGCAATAGATACGAAGTAGAGCAGAGGAAATCTTGAAGAGAAAAATAGGAAATAGGAAACACTCGTTAATTTAACAATGGTAAAGATACTTGAAGAATTCTAATCTTCGTCTGTAGAATTATAATTGAAGATATCTTGAATTGATTGAATAAACAACTAGATTTGTTTAGTTATTTTCGAGTTAGCCAAAAATTTAGAAGATAAAAGCTATAGGAAGAAATAGAAGAAAAAGTTTGAGGTTTCATGAATGTTTTTCAAGATTTTTTTTATTAAATTAATATGAATGATTTTTTTTAAATTTGAAAAATCAGATTTTATAATAAACATTTTTTTTATTTTTCAATATAACATTTATATATATATATTTTATTTTATTGGAAAAATTTATTTGCTTAAGAAAAATATAATATTGCTATAGTATAAAAGGAAAGAATGTAGAAAATAATCTTTAGTTTCGCACGGTATAATAAAGCTATCATATAAAAGTAAATTCAATCGGATAAAATTATGCGACAATTGCGCCAGTTCGTGCAATGTTTTACTCACGTTTATTATGCCAATTATTTAATGATCTGCTCAATAATGTGTGAATAATTTATTTTTTAATTCAAATGTTTAATGTCGTATACTTCTTAGAACAAAAAACTTTTTTAATCGACTTTTTTTCTTATTTATCGATGGATTAATCTTATAATGTTCAAGTTTTTATAGATATTATAAAAAAATTAATAAAAATTTCAACATCAATATCCTATTTGCAATATCAAAATAAATGATCGTATATTCATATAAATATGAAGTTGATTGGTTTCCAAAATACAATAGTATTTTTCTGGATTGATAATAATATCTTGTTTCTGAACGTGCAATATATCATTTATTGTTAAATAGTATTTATTTGCACTATATAGAATTTAGTAATATTTTAATATTAATTCTAATATTAATTTCAAAAAACTTATCATCTTTTTATTCGATAAAAATTTATTGTTTATATTCTTTATTTTCTATATTGAAAGTATTAAAAGTTTATTGACATTCGATATTCGATGAAGTTTGCATCGATTATTGTAAACTGATACATTCACTAATCGGTCTCTGACTTCCGGATTTTCTAGGTTATAGGGGTGACTCAGTTAATCTATTGTTGTAAATCAATATTTTAGAAATCAAAAATATTCTTTATAAAGAAAATATTGAAAATAAAGGTAAAAACTTCTTTAAATAATCAATCTTATTTATTTCAAATCTTATTTTTAAATTTAATTATTGATTAAAGATTATGTTACAGATTTTATTTCCTAAGAGAAGATAATATATTAAAGTATGAAATGAAAATAACAAATATACATTAAATTAAAACGAGACACATAGAAATAAATCTAAATAAGAAAATTTATTAATTTATATAAATAATAATTTAATATATTGTCATAATATAATGTATTCAAAGAAATTATGATGTGACATTTATAGTATATATTATTACTACAAAAATACTTTTAGCATAAACAAACACAAGAGAATGAGAAGTATTATACAAATAAGAAATGATAATATATGATATGAATGGATATTCTTTTTTTAAGTTTTGCAAATATAATATAAATATAAGAGATTCTATGTTTGATTATTTTAATAATATATTTTTTATTTTTAGATTTATAAGTTTTATAATATAAGAAACAAAAAAAATATATATATATAATATAGTATATATATATATATATATATATATATATATATATATA